TGGGAGTTCGGCGGCGCAGTTCAATGTTGGACAAATTTACTGGTCAGGAAGAATCAACGAAATTGGTGTTGACCGGGCCTGTTTCAAAAAGACGAGTAAGTAATTTTCGCTGATCAGTGGCTTAATGGAACTTTCTAGACCTAATGTGACCAATGATAATCAAGACTATCTTCAGAGTTGTTGGTACACAGTCAGTCTCGATAAGTCGGTTTTGGCTTAATATTAAGTCAGCCAAAATCTTTTCTACATTTTTTTCACTATTTAAAAATTCTCAAAGTCCACCGTTGTTTTGCGGTATAGTTTTTTAATTAATCCAAAACTACCATCACACTTGAATTAGTATGTCTTAATTCAATACTTTCATAATAGCCGCAGATGACCAAATACAAGTAAAATCAAATAGTGGCGTTATTCTTATTCTGTCCACCGGCGTTATCACAAGTAATTTTTAAATATTTTGAGTTCGATGCTAATCGTCCCTGAATAAAATACAGTGGTGTTCAAAAAAAAAATGGCACAAACGAATTTTCTTCTAACTCATTACACATTGCTCCAAATAATATGATTTAAACTTATTTGAAAGCCTAAAAGGTGCTGCTAATTGATTTATTATTTACTATGGGATGCGATTACCATTATTTTCTATAATTAGTTCACATCGATTGCTTCATCGAATCTATTAAGTTAATTAGGACAGTATTTGGAATATTGTCCCACTCTTCAGTCATAAACTGTTCTAAATCCTTACAGTTTTTTGGTTTACGCCTTTCCACACTTGTTTTAACTATGATCCAAAGGCTTTCGATAGGATTAAGGCCCTTCTCCAAATAATATAATATCGTTTGTCATTGTCTTTCGTTAACGGATTGCGACATTTTACACTTTTGTTTGGGTAAAGCGCGAAGTTGAAAATAAGTCTGTTTGGAAATGGTAGTCCATTACATAAGCTTTGTTTTGATCCATTGATTACGCGTTTTTTTTGAAAATTGACCGAGTTACACATATACGAACTAAATTTGTGCCATTTTTTTTGAACACCACTGTACGCTCGAAAGCCACCAAGTCCAAAATCCGCAGATCACTTATCAAACACATGACATTGAAAATTACAACACTTTGTCAAATTCCGGGTCAAAATCGTCCGCAAAAACTTTAATGTTGGACTCGGAAATCAATGTTGCAGATTGAACAGCACATACGTACGCACTTACCTATATAATGCATTTAAGAAATTGATCGAACTAATTTGTTCGTAATTCCTCCCATGCATTTTCTGTGCGATTTATATTTTCTAGTAACATATTCCGCTAACTTACCTGTAACTCCGTGTTTATACAAATCCATAACAATAAAGATAACATGAGAACAATAAATGCTAAACATAATCGGTTTATTGGATAATGGAATATTACACAAAAAGTTGTACAAACTGGACGTCCGAAATTTTCATTTTTCCTTAAGAAACTCAAGAAAAACTGTTGCTTTTCAAATGCCTAAAACTCGAAACTTTTTTAGTTGATTGAAAATTTTAAACCGTAACTTTTATTCTGCTTCGTCTGCTCTATCATTCTTACGGATTAGTTTTTCTCTAAACCCTCTAATATAAAAGCCTTAGGGTTTTGAAAGTTGGGTATTTTATTTCGGGCTATAGATATCCTGCACCATAGGGCCTTGATAGACGCAATAGCCACTTCATGACTAGAATTTCTTAATTCCATCGAATACCATGCTCAATGTACCATTAGGACCTTTTTCTATAATTTCTTCTTCATCAAGGACGTAATTAATTTGTTCGCGTACTGCTTCATCTTGAATACCGAACAAATGCACTTTACGCGGACTGAGATAATAAATCTTACTTACCTGTTGATCAGAATAGGGCACGTGAACATTTTGTGCTCAATCATAACTATAATGAGCAGTAGCATCAACGTTACAATAGTCAACTTTACCTCTCGTCATAAAATGCTCATTTACCAATTTTCTGCTAATTTCGTGTTTGTGTTGTAATACACGTAGTTTTTTTCTAATTTAGCTTTAACTAAATGTTCTTTGTACTTTTTTAGTAAATCTTTCGCTTCTTCCCTACGAGCATTATACTGTAAACCATTCCGAAAATGTTGGCACGTATCACATAAATCCGTTATTCTTGAATTCATGATTTGAATATAAGGCGTTAATTGGGTCATAACTTGCGGAATGCATCATATTTTAATAATTTCAACGTGCTATCGTTTTCGAGACCTGCAATAAAATCACGATAGACCGACTTATAATTCGTTTCGGCTGGCAAAAGTGTAAACGATTGAGTAATTCGGTTGACGTTTCTACCAGGACTTGGTAACCCATATAATTCTCGAGAAAATTCTTCACGGCTGTAGCGACGTCTTTATCAATGATTATTTTTGGTCTTTCATCGCGGCACTTTTTTTACATTACCATGAACACGTGGTATTATACCATTCGTTGCTAGATGATTTCTGACGTTTTCGAAGTGAGTGCGACCAATTCCTAACATGTTAAGGTACAAGGGACGTATTGCGATTTCAATAATAAAAAAGAGTACGCGACGTCTGCTAGCAGTTATTTCTCCACCATTCATTGTTTTCAACTGGGCCATTAAAAATATATCTTGCTCGGATTTAGAGAGAGCTTGAAACGCTTCACATAATCTGGCAAACCCTTCTCTCAGAATCTTTTTTGAGCAACCACAATTGCAACCTATCTCCAAGAAATGCATGGCTTTTTTGTATTCAGTAGAACCGTTATAATTATTATTATTTATATGGTTCGGTACAAAAATATCCGTACCTCACAATAATCTTAATAAAAACAGTTCTTACATATTAATTTTTTTTAAAAAAAAAAATAAATAAATAACCAATAGGTATTCGGATTTATTATACTATAAAAATTTTATTAAAATTCATCATTATTGTCAAGATTGTCATAATCATCTGTTTCCTCATCCAATAAATTTACATTATCATCTGATTTTTTATATTCTTTCGCTCTTATGAGTGCTCTTTTCCATAACCCTACTATTACTTTGATGTTAAGATTTTTTCTTTAAAAGCTTTTAAAGCTTATTTCTAACATCTAAGAGATTTAAATGTGGGCCTACCTCACCTTTTACTACTGCCCAAACACCCTCAATCGGCTGAAGCTTGCAATGGTAAGGAGGCGTAAAAAAAACTTGATGACCATGTAGTATTCGGAGAAGTTGGCACTTGGAAAGTATGTACCCATGTTCGGAAAGAATTGTCGTAAGAAAGTTGTTGTCCTGTCTTGTTGCTGTTCATAATGTGAGTTCGCAAAGGTGATGTGATGTCCTCGCCTGGTTGAGATTTAGGTCGTCCAAGATTTTGATGTGGTGTAAATGTGCCATCGTTGCGCTGGTTCCAATCAGACAACACATCCCCCAACCGTACTCTCCGCAACCCCCCAAAACCAGACCAACTCGCTTGCGTAATGTTATGTTTTTATTTTGCTTACCTATGGATGTAGTATCTGTAGACGTTCAATACCATCCATTTTTCGTTCGCTGTTAGTGGTGCAGGCGTTCGGTTTAGACATGTTAAAATGGGCTTATTTGGGTCATTGCATGTGGTTTTAGTATTACACAAATAAAAATCTTTTAAATCGAGGTGCGGATATTTTTGTACCGGACCATATATGGTAATCCTATATATAATTTTTATTGACTTTATTGAAGTAGAAGTAAGACTTTTTTTAATTATTTGGCAAGTTGTTTTGAAAAGCTAAATTCAAGAATCACAGATAGGCATAGCCAACTCTGGATAGAATATGAGCTATAATCATGATAAAATCAATCTGGCATGTGCAAATGCAGTTGTAAATTGACACCATTTAATTTTAATTTTGCATCTTAATCCTGCATTATACATGCACAGAAATCCTTAATTCATCCTTGTTGGTGCAGTAAGAAACCTACAATTCAATACAGATTCAAGACTATCCTTCCTATAGCATTCATCCAACTCTCTCATAAAATCAATTGCATGTGAATTATATCTCCAGATCTCTTCAACCTCTTTCATCATTTCTTTCACCATGTAGACATCATGAGCAGGACGACTCAGCAAGGAGTTTTGATCAAATTTCTTTAATACCTTGCTATGAATTGGGTGACCATGCTCTTGGGCAAATTCACCAGCATCAATAATATAATAGCAACCATTGTATTCAATGGTGTTTGGCCATCTGATGTCAATGACAGACCAGCCATTTTGGTGAACCTTAGCCAGGACATGAAGGAAGCAATACATGGCAGTTTGAAGGGTAGCAAGATTTGTAGGTGAAAACATAAGGCCAACTGGTGTAAGTTCAAGATGGAGCTCATTGTTTTTAGTCTCATTTCGTAATGCTTTTTCAAGAAAGGGAATGCCAGTATTTCTTGCATAGAAGCTGTGTACCCTGCAAATTAATAAGGAAGATGTTTTTATCACATGAATATAAATGCCCAATATGATGAGATTGACATACCTCTGAATTTCTGAACTTTCCATTGAATAGAAAGTCTTCAATACTGAAGAATAATTGATTGTAAGGCGAGTGCCCCAGATACCTGAATCTGCAGGTAGGCGGTCAATAGTCTTACCAAATGGATACAATGGTTCTGGTCCTACTTGTTTAAAGGCCCATTGGCAGTAACGACCAGTATTTATGGCTGCCTGGACACATCTAATATCAAACATTATTAATTGTAATCACAATGAATTGAAATCAGGAGGCATTTATTTCATCAACAATCATTTCACATACACATTGTTTATCGCACTTATCATTGGTTTTCGATGAAATTTATGTTGGTAAAACATACTGTCGGTGAAATGAACCAGACCCATTGAAATCTGCTTTGAGAGAGAAGTGGATACAATACCTTACACGATCTTTAATCAAAGAAAGATTCAAGCTCAATTCATCAATAAAGTGTTTTGCACGAGTGAACTTACTGAAGACTATATTATCTCTACCAACTGCAATAGCAATCACATATGGCAAATTCCTGTAATGCGGTGACCAATCAAATTTCCTGTATATATCAAGCTTGGCCTCCCCAACCTCTGTATCCAATTGCTTCTCCTCTACAATAACAACTGGAATGTTCCCAATGTGAGCATCAACCCGTTTGCGTTTAAGTGTACTGTTTGAAGAATGATTAAGATCAATAATGTTAGGATCTGATGATGCTGTTGCTGAAATGATGTGAAGAATGCTGCCATCTCGAAAATGGAGTGCATCCTCAGAGGTTCCGTCTTTGATGTTCCTCAATATGATAATTGTATCTTCATAGACAGACAAATGGCAATGATGCATGGAGGAGAGGATAATTTTTGGATCCGGCAAGACGTTGGACCGATCACGAGGTAGGGAGTCAAAAACGAATCTGGGTATCAGGATGGGCTCTTTCAGGTCCAAGTCAAAGCGAAAGAGATCTGACGTCAATGGATCCACGCAATATTCCAATGGTTGATAGTCTGTCCCTGCAAAGCAAACAAAGAAAAAAGGAATCATGTTGCAGATAGTATACCCCAAACATTCTCTCAAGCTGGATAGGTAGAAAGATAATTTTGCCAATTTACTGAACTCAGTCACAGAACTCCAACTACGGAAACATTATCCTAGTACACCAATAACATTCTTCAATGAAAACCGTATTCTGCGTCTCCTATTTACTAAAAGTCTACTCTATCCTACATACACACTACTCTATGTCCCTAACGCCCGAGGCGTAAATTCGTCAAACTAAAACCCTCATTCGCGGCTATGAAGGGCGGCATATTAAAACCTTGATGAAGCACTCTCCGTCTATCACGTTAATAAAC